GCGTTCTGCAACTCTATTTTGTTGTGGTGTCCCCGGAATAGTCTTCTCTATTCTGATACCTTGAGCTGCACAGTATTCCTTGAACCCACCATCGATGTACTCACCACCTTTGTCAGATCTCAAGCATTTTAGTTTTAGATCTGTCTCCGTTTCAACCATGGCCTTCCAAGTTTTGAACACAAAAAATACATCAGATTTATGCTTCAGAAAGTAAACCCGTACCTTTCTGCTGTGGTCATCTATGAATGTGACGTAATAGCGAGAGCCTCCAAGAGATGCCACTGGGGAAGACCCCCACACATCGGTGTGTACCAGTTCTAGTTTTCCTGTCTTTGACATCCTTTCACCTCTCAGGAAACTGATCTTCTTCTGTTTCCTCATGATACAACTTTCACACATGCCGAAATCAACAGACTTCAGTTCTGGTAGCTTGCCTCTAGACTGAAGCTCTTTCATACATCTCTGACTCATGTGTCCAAGTCTGCAATGCCACATGTCTGTTGTGTTCTCTGCAACTGTGGTATCAACATTATTAATTAGACCAGTTGTCATATATAGCGTACCGGTCTTCTTACCCCGAGCCAGTATCAGTGCTCCTTTAGTAACGTTCCAGGTGTTATCAGAGAACACTACTGAATGACCTCCCTCATCAAGCTGCCTAACAAATATGAGGTTCTTTTTCAGTGCAAGAATGTGTCTAACCTTTTGCAGGATCCATTTGTTTCTGTTAGGGAGTGCAATTTCAACATCTCACATCCCCACACTTTCCCAAAGTCACCTGAAACATAGTTTCTCATTAGCTCTCGGTGGGAAGATGTGTGAAAAAAAGCCCCCGAGTCCAGTATCCTGTCGTCAACAGAGTTATGAACTGCAAGTAATAATGCATCCTGCACTTCTTCAGTTACAGAGTTAGCACTGACGTTCTCCGTCTTCTTAGGATTTCTACAGTTCCTTTTTATGTGGCCAGTTTTGCCACAATTCCAGCAGGTTGCTTGCTGACCAGACTTTGACTTGCTCTTGCTTCTATGCTTTGATTTCGACCTTCCTCTGTTTGAGTTCTTGTCTTGTGATCTCCCTCTGGAATCAACATTCAGTGCTGAACTCGAACCTGAGACCTCGCCAGAATCTTTCCTGCGCACCTCTTCAGCAAGAATAAGTCACGAATATCATCATATTTCAGTTTGGTTTTACCTGCAGAGTTGCTAACTGCCATCCTCATGGCTTCCCAGCTATTTGGGGTAATGAAACCAACAATATCAGTGCACGCATCTCATCGTCAAAATCAATTTCAACGGACGATAGTTGATTTGTAATAGTGTTGAAATCATTTAAATGTTGAACAACCGACACACCTTCCGCCATCTTTAGGTTGAATAATTTTTTCATCAAGTACACCTTGTTATTCGCTGATGGCTTTTCATACATACTTGATAAAGCCGCCATAAGATCTGTCATCGTCCTCTCCTTTATGACATTGTGAGCAACGGACCTCGATAGGGTTAATCGAATAACCCCAGAACCTGTCGATCCAATAGATTCCAATCAGCCTCTTCCATCTTCTCCGGTCGTTTTCCCAGTAGCGGAAGATGAAGTTTCTTCCCATAGAGGTAATCCTCTATCTGCATCCTCCAGTAT